AAGAGAAGTGCTTAGCGGTTGGCAGATGTCATGTGAGCCTACAGTCTAGTTCGCTGCGGACGAAGGGGCGCGTCCGGCGGGACGACTTTGGCGCGGTGCCAGAGACGTTCTCCAGCTATTGAAGCGGGTGTGCGACAGCAACTGGCAGAAAACGAATGGTACGAACGACATGATACAATCTTGTCCTTGCTCGCTTCAATAACCGGGAGAGAACGGGTCTGACGCAGCGCCAAACACGTCCAGCCTGACACGCCCCCTCGTCCGCAGCGAACTAGACTGTCGACTACCGTACAAACACTGTGCACGATGAGAAGCGAAGATTCATCTGGTTCAAATTGTAGTAGGCAACATTCCTTGAATAAGCGGGATAGACTAGCATTGGGAGAAGATTTGGCTGCTGCCAACCGAGGGAACTCCATATCCTTTTATTCCTATCAATGAATCAATAAGCTGAACGGGGGCGAAGGAAAGGGCTCTTCGCACGGTGAGAAGGGTGTTGTCAAGTCGACAAACATATGGTCTGCGAGGAATGTGCGTCGTTTTGAGAGCACGAACCGCGTTAGCGAGGCACAACAGCGTTCATACTACAAATCCAACAAAAGTAAACTGTCTGAGCAAACGTCACCATAAGCAAAAAGATTGGTAAACAATAGATTTGTCATTGTGTTGCGCGAAAGACAAAACGGAAGTTTCTTCGTAGAGTATCGGAGACGAGACAATAGTAATGATGCACGCAGCTTTGGCGAGAGTATACGTTCCTTAGTAGTTTATGGACAACGAAATGTACACTTCCGCTGCCTCTTTGCTGCGGTAAAACTAAATAACTATTAATCAAGCTGCTTATCAAAATGATCAACAACACAAGCTCAAACTGCGCTACTCTTTTCACAAGTCAACAATCTCAACAGAACCCCAAAAACCCATAATTTAGCACATTTCGAATGATATTATGCAGCATAAGCTCACAAAACCAACAGAAAGACCCGTGAAAATTCCTCACTGCGGGTGATTATTGGAGGCTTTCGCAACAGACATTAAAGGACGAAGGAAGTGTTGTGGTCCCGACGCGATTGCTCCAACTCGCTCGGACTTTATTCTACGTTAGCCTAAAATTTTCGATGGACTTTTTTGTTTATTTAGGGCTAATTTTCAAGAAATTCCCTTGTCCAGCGTGGATTATTATTGCAGGATAGTGTTACAAGATGTCCCACGCTGTTCTGATTGTTCAGATCCCCTCACAGCCTTGTTTTTTTCTTTTCCGTGTTTGCAATTCGCTGCGATTTAAGACCCTGTCGGACTTTTATTTTTGAATGCTGCTTCCACTTATTTCTGTGGTTTGTTTTGTTCTGAGCGCAAGCATAGAGTTCAGGGGAGGGGGTGAAATGGTTGCAAAGAGAGCACAAAAAAAGAAGAGCAGGTTCTGGTAAAAGGAGGGTGGTACGGTATCCAGAAGCACTTTATGCAGCTTAGAGGGCATCAAGTGGCTAGATCTGTCTATGGGGCCATTTTATATTATTACGGCATTGTTGTAGCGAGCAGTATTGGCTGAGATTCCCTTCGGTTCATAAGCGTAGCCAGTGCGCAACTTTCACTTGCATCTCTCTCGACCACGGGACGATAGCGTTTACTTTGGCCTCGCTTTTAGCAACTAGGGAAATATAGATATCAGTCATCATTTTGAGTGTTGTTCCCAACGTTCTGGAGTGATCTAAGAAAGCATAGTGCAGTAGCTGCTGTGAAGACGCCTGCGGATTGCTCAAAACATTGACCGCTTCCGCAAAGTAAAGCGCACTTTGACGATGGCTATTCAGTGGTGTTCTGAGGGTACCGACTTATCTTTTCAGCGCAACTTTAAGCGAAACACATCGAATCATTTGTAACGACAGATCACATCTTTCGTTTAAGGCATAATTAGTCATGCTTCCCATTCACCACTTATTGGTAGGCTTTACTTGTATTAATCATTGCAATGAACAATTTTGCGGTCACCCATTTTGATACAACGAGTGGTTAAATAGGGTGGGGGCTGACAAACACTGCTAAACTTTTGCAAAATGAAAATAATGCTACTGTAATTCAGAGTTCAAGGCAAGTCCATATTAGACATGATATCAGTTTCCGCGCAAGCGTACGGGATTGTACGACTGTCTTAAAGGCAGTTGGCACGATAAATCGCTATACAGATGTAGGATTTATACGACTGGCTTAACAGAATTCCGTGACCTCGGACAGGCGCTCCGTGGCGCCTTTTCCAAGGAGGGTACCCCTATAACGCCCTATCGAGCAACAACATTCCCAAACGCCTTCCTTGCCCGCCCGCCCACAAACGGACGACCGTTCCTGACGCTCGTATTCATTCATTTGCTAAGCAAATTATGAAGCAAAGGGATTGGTATGAAGCGGCCGTGATGCTGCATGCATACATGGGTACACATATGCAGCCGTATCTTCGGTAGCGGTGATTGGCAAGATGCGTACGGGAAACTCGTCCGAAATCGATTTACAAGTCACTGAGAACGGAGGCTTTTTCTTCGCCGGATTTTGACCGTTTCACTCCGTTCTTTCGCCATTTCCCCACTACATAGCGCCCTACTAGCATTTTAGGCCGAGTGGGAAACCATCGTGCCAACTGCCTTTAACTCAGAAACACGTGAAAGCGCGACCCGCGGAACCATGGCTCGGCAACGCCCACTTTTCACTCCTAAACGTATCTTGGTGGTGAGCTTGTTCTGTTGCTAACGTTCTCCATTCTAAATGGTGAGGGTGAGGTGATGAGAAGAAAGAGCCAGCACCAGCAAGTGTGGAGGTAAGAAGAAAGAGCTATCATCCATGTGCGAACTTCCTGCACACTTTCCATCGTCATATGCACGTACAGGCGCGATTCAGCAGGGGAAGGGGTAGTTTATGTAGGACTTCTCGAGCAGGTTTTCATGGTTTTCTCCACTATTTTGTTTATGTCATGTCATCAGCTCTTGAGCCGCACAAATCACCATTTCTGGACACGAGGTGTGCCTTCAATCCATGAAATCGATCTGTGTCCTATCACTTTCGACGATTCCTCGATAAGCTTCTGTTCGTTTGTGGCTAAAAACGGCTCTAGAAAATGCCCCACGCCTCGTTGCTCACATATCACGCAAAGCGCTCATATCAGGCGACTAGTCGCGAAGTTTCAATGCACTCTCAGATTATCTTGAGGTTTTCTTCTTTAGTGTTCTAGTTTTTGGCAATATTTTCTGGGCGTTCCTCTGAGACTGAGTCTGAGAGCGCGTTTAGACTTCGCGATCGCGCGATCGAATCGCTCGGATCGCGCGATCCGATCGCGCTACTGGGATGGGTGAAATTATCGGGAGGTCATGTTTGTTCATGCTTATTGTTCCTGTTCTCTTTTAAATAAACACAATAAACATGAACAAACATGCCCCCCCCCGGTGTGAATTTCACCCATCCCAGTAGCGCGACCCGCACAACTACATTGGTGCCTTTCTATCTTCTCGAAACCCTAAAACTACTGCCGTGTATTGTGTAGATTTACTACTCTTACCCTCAAGTGTTCCAGAGACCATGGTCTTCAAACGTATGGTACAAATTGGTCGCGTTGTTTTCATCGCAAAAGGGAAAGATGCCGGCAAAATCGCCACCATTGTCGATGTTGTTGATGGAAACAGGGTGAGTTGATTAGGCTGCTTTCATACTTCGTTGTGAACGTTTGGAGCCACTAGGAAGTAGAGATATTGATCCAGCGTTTCAGGCGTACGACAGCGTTTTCAGCGACTCGCAAAGAGTTCAAAACGCTAGATCGATACCTATACTTTGCTAGTCCGTCGAAACTCCCGTGCGCTGCTCAAAACGCTGCCTCACGCTGACGTACGCTAGATCGATACCTATACTTTGCTAGTCCGTCGAAACTCCCGTGCGCTGCTCAAAACGCTGCCTCACGCTGACGTACGCTAGATCGATACCTATATTTTCTCAGTCGCTCAAAACCCTGACGCAGAGTGAGAACGCGGTCTTACTTCGTTTTTTCTTTGGTTTGCCAATGCAAATTTTTGTTCAGGTTCTGATTGATGGCCCCAGCACTGGAGTTATTCGTTGCGTTCGAAACCTGAAAGATCTGCAGCTGACGAAATTTGTTGTTAATGTTCGTGTCGGACAAAGAACGAAGAAAGTCAAAGAGGCATTTGATAGCCCCAAAATCAGTGATCAGTTCAAGCAA